CCCAGCGCCTCTCCCTCCTCCATCCCGGGGTCCCCGGGCCGCCACCCTCGGGGCCAGCCCCTGCCCGCCAGCTGCTTCCTTTGCAGGCAACGCCGTCGCCTCCTACAGAGCGTTGCGCTCCCTGAGACCCCGAGTCTTCGCTGGGTGGGTGGCCCTCCCAGCCGGGGTCCCCCGTCCCCCCGATGTTGCCCTTTGAGCGGCAGAGAAGGGAGGTGAGGAGCGGGGAGGGGACGCGCGGCCGGCGGGGGGGCGGCCCCGCCGGGCGGACTCCTTCTGTAAGCGCGAGGCCGGCTGCAGTTTTGGGAGTCACGGTGGCCGAGTGGTTAAGGCGTTGGACTCGAAATCCAATGGGGTTTCCCCGCACAGGTTCGAATCCTGTTCGTGACGGCCGCTTTTTTCCCCCCCCTTCCCTTCAGGACCTGTAAAGGGAACCCCTTGTTTTCGCACGTCTTTCGTGCACTTACCTTTCTGCCTCGGAAAGTGAAGCCGGAAGGTCTCACCCTTGGATTTGGGGGAAATGGGGGCGATCTCGGAAGCTTATTATCCACAACCATATCGGCTGCTAGAATACAAGGCACTCTCAGAATTCTGTAACTTCAGGTTTGCTAGCCGAACTTTGACATTGTTTCATGCTTTCGGCAGGGAACAGCAAAGGATTTGAAGAAGGGTTACGTTTTGTTTGGGAATGTGAATACCTGTTGTGCTGTAATAGTCAAAACTGGAGTTTCCAGGAGGAGAGGGCGCCTCTGGATTTGATGACCGGAAGTCATGTCTGGTAGGTCTGATGACAAATGAAGACCCAGGGGCAGGGCATGCTCTCATTTGGATTTCCTTGAAGAGGTGCGCCTCAGATACCACGGGGCTTGGGGGAGTGGCCTATTGAAGCAAAGAACGCAGATCTAGCTGGAGCTAGTGTGGGATAACTATCACTTTTTATTGAGTGCTCGCTAGGTGCCAGGTACTGTGCTAAATGCGCCATGTATTAGCCAAGATAGGGAATCAGTCCCTTCTCTCACCTGTTCTCACCTCACTAAGTTCTTCCTGTCCCCCCCGTTTCTGATTGTGGGGAATATCTAAGATACTTGTGGAGGATGTTCTTTTTGTATTTCATTTCTTGCACAGCACCATCTTCTCCAGGGGTTCATACCATTGCTCATGCTGTATTTCCCACGCTCGCCCTCACCACTGTCTCCTTCCCACCCCCACCATAATCACTTTCTATGCTATACACAGGTTTGCTCCTCCTCTTTGAGGCTCTTGATGACTCCAGCTGGAACCTATCAGTCTACCACCACCATTCATTAGATGGCATGCAAGGAATCTCCTTTAATACACGTGTGCAAAAATTAATTTCTACAAATTATATTTATTCTACCTGCCAACTATGTCTCAAATCTGTCTGCTTTTCTCAGGATCGAGTGCAAGCCGGACCCACCACTAGCTGGAGCCTTTATTTGGAAAGTCGGAGTTCTTGTGAGAACTACATGAGTTATATGTAAAGCTGTACCACAGCCTGCACAATGTAGCCAGAGACCTTAAAACTTTCCACAGCTGCCCTAGCTGGCTTGGCTCAGTGGATAGAGTATTGGCCTGCAGACTGAAGAGTTGTGGGTTCAACTCCGGTCAAGGGCACATGCCCGGGTGTGCAGGAGGCAACTGATCAATGGTTCTCTCTCATCATTGATGTTTCTATCTCTCTAGCCCTCTCTCTTCCTCTCTGAAATCAATAAAAATATATTTTAAAAAAACTCTCCAGAGCTGCTTTTGGTCTCTTTTCTCTCACCACTCTTCCATATTTCCTACTTCCATCCACTGGCATTATTTTAGTTCTCGGAGTAGTATTTGTCCGTGTTCATGCTGTTCTCTGCCTGAAATCATCTTTCTTATCCTCACCTTCTACTCACTCCCCACTTAAATGTCAGTTCTCTAATCACCTGTCGCCCACCATGTCCTATGGCCTGTGCCCTAATCTTATTATGTGAATTGTTTCCTCTGTAGAATATAAACTCTTGGCACCTATAAGCTCTTCAATAAAAATAAAAATAAATTTATTGAGTAAATGGATGCTTTTTACAGTGGTTATGTGTACATGTTTTAGTCTTCACTCAGACTGTACTATAAGCTTCTTGGGATTTAGGATTGTATTTTATTTGTATCTATTCTACTAAGTCTTACATGTAGATGTGATCAAATATATGCTGTAATACTACCTAACAGATTCAGTACTTGGCTTCCACTGAATCCCATTTTGCGCATGCGCTCAGATTTAAATATCTGGAGAGCCAAGACCAATATCGACCAGCAGAGGGCAGCCGACAACTATGTTGTGAAAGGAAGAAAGCTCATGGTTTTATAAAATGGAGGATCTGGACAGAATGAGAAACTGGCAGAGGTTCTTTGGTACTTAGGAAATCCACTCTCAAATGCGACCCTTGTAACTTTTGGGGGTGAGAGGCCAACGCTTCAAATTCTCATGAACAGTGGATAAGTTCAAATTGTTACCATCCCCACAGCCACCCGTCCCCAATTCTTTCATCCTTCTCCTTTCATCCCAACAAATCCTGTCTCTTTCTTTGCGTTGCATAATCAGGCCTCCCTCCCCCTCACCATTTCTACATTCTACTCACTGCCATTCTTTTCTTCTGGTTCGGTGTTTGGCCCTGCTTGTCTGCCCGTAAGTTACCTTCTCACCTAGACTTGCAATCCCACTCATTTCAATCTCCTAAGGAACCTTCTGTAAGTACCCTTCCATAGTATGTTCAAATTCTCCTCCTCTGCTGGATCAATCCTCCTTCTTTTTTTAATTTTTTAGTTATTTTATTTTTTATAATGGATCAATCCTTCTTTAATTCAGAACAAAACTACACCAGACACTTACGAACCACCACATTTTTTACTTCCTTTCATTTTTTGAATAAAATACATACCTTCTGCCTGCAGCTTCCTATTATCTTAACAACTCTGTGGTAGAAATCTTTGCTATGTTTGAAACCATTGATTTCTTAATGGGCTGCAGAGACACTGTACCCGGTTTTTCTCTTAGAACAGCGATTTTCAACCTTTTTCATCTCGTGGCACACATCAACTAATGACTAAAATTCTATGGCACACTAAAAAATAAGTTTTTGGCCGATCTGACCAAATAAGAAGGTATAATTTTGGTTCATTCACACCAAATGGTTATTGTTGTGTTGGCTGTTGTCTTTTTTTTTT